AGTCAAAAGAGAGAATAGAATAAATGGGGCAGGATAAGATGAAGGGAAATATAGTTTTTCACAACATGACTACTGTGGGAGTGTTTTGCATGACTACACATGTATAACCTGTATCAAGATGCTTGCTTTCCCAGTGAGGGTGGTTGTAGAGGGAGGAAGAGAGAAAATTTAGAACCCAGAGTTTTAAAAACAAATGTTAAAAATTGTTTTCACATGCAACTGGGAAATAAGATATATAGGCAGTGGGGTATAGAAATCTATCCTGCCCTATAGGAAAATAGAAGTGGAAGGGGATAAGAGAAGGTGGTGGGAGATAGAAGGGAGAGCAGATTAGGGGAAGGGGTATTCAGAATGCATGCCATCTTGGGGTTGGGGGAGGGATGAGATAGGGAGAAAATTGTGGAGGTGAATGTTGAAAACTAAAAAAGAAATTAATAAAAAAAGAAATATACAATTAACAGTCATAACCATGAACATAAATGAGATGAATTTATAAAAGCTTTTATATAATCTAGTAGCACCTACAAACTAAACTATAAAAGAAAAAAAATGATGGGCAGGATGATTTCAGAAAAACCTGGAAAGACTTACATGAACTGATGCTGAGTGAGGTGAGCAGAACCAGGAGAACGTTGCACACAGCAACAGCAACATTATGCAGTGATTAACTATGATACACTTAGCTCTTCTCAGCAATACAGTGATCCAAGACAATTCCAAAAGACTCAAAATGAAAACTGCTATCCACATCCAGAGAAAGAACTATGGAGTCTGAATGCAGATGGAAGCATACTATTTGTTTTTTGTTTTTCCTTTTTGTTCTGTTTCTTCTTTCACAACGTGACTCATGTGGAAATATCTATTGCACATGTATAACCTATATCAGATTGCTTGCTGTCTTGGGAAGGGGGGAAAGAAGGAAGAGAGAAAAATTTGGAACTCAAAATTTTACAAAAATGAGTATTGAAAACTATATTTACATGTAATTGGAAAAAAATAAAACACTATTATGGAAAAAAAAGAAAGCTTCCCTTCCCCCCCACAAAAAAAAAATAAAGGTATTTGGAAAGGTTTAGGGGATATCTCAAGTGAGTCCCTAGTCAACAAAAGTTACCTTCAGACAGAGGCGTCTAAAAGACCTTACAGTCTTTTAATGTGAACTTTGCACTGAAGATTCTCCATAGCAATAGCAAACACTTTAGCACATATACATCTCCTGTTTTATTTCTCACTTGCTATTAATAATTACAGGATTACTGGATAAAGATTTGTCTTTCAAGAAATCTTATATGATTGAAAATTGAATGGGATATACCTGGGATGTACCCTGTTGGTAGAAAGCCTTTGAGAAAGGTAGCATTTTGGTCAACAAAACAATTTATTTTTTTTTTAGAGCCAGCGAAGAGTGAATATGGGTACATCTAGTATTCTCTACACCTTTCAGTCAGTGATGTATTTGCTGTAAAGCACAGTTGTGAAATTCTCCTTGTTTCCTTCTCCCACTTGCATCAGTAAGGCCTTCAGTGCAAGTATGGATTATCTTCATGCATTTTATAAGAGAGGAGGCATGGTGATTGGTGGTTAGTGATAGTTTCTCAGTTGCCCTATTTTCAGTAGTAAGATCTGTGATTTTTCCAAAATTTTGGTACTCTTTCCTCCTCCAGATATCCTGAGAATCAGTCCTGCGTTGGCCTCCAGATCTGTTGCCTCTAGTGAGGTAATGTGGGACGGTGGAAAGAGTGCTGGCTCTGGATTCAGAGCCCAGGGGTTCAGATTTCACTTTTTACCTCTGTGAACCTCAGCAAGTCACTTAATCTCCTTGGACATCAGTTTCCTCCTCTCTGAAAGGACTTTGAGGGCCCGTGTAGTCCTAGGCTCACAGTCCTTTAATAACAACATTACAGATTTATTTTGTGTAGACCTGGTCTGATCCAGGTGCTCATCCCGTCTTTGTTTTCTCTGGTGCCCTTTCTCCTTCCTCATGCAGCACCTCAGGAACTGTGATGTCATAGGCCAGTTGTGGTGCCTTTACTGTCATTGATTCAGGGAAAGGTTTGTTATGAAAATCCTTAGAAATTGTTTCAACTTCTCGCCTGTTGTTTTCCTTCTAATGTCATCCTTAAATACCTCCAAGATCTGGCTTAGTTGGTTCTCTTTTTAAGATTTCTGTAGACTTGGTTTTTCTCTCTAGTGTGTTTTGTCGTTTTTATGAGGTAGCACTCCTCATAATCTTCCATCGTCTTCCTCTATCAGATTCTACAAATGAGTTTATATTCTAAATTGGTATTGCCCCTGGCTGCCTTACTTCTTTACTTGGCAAGAAGATCAAGTATTTGCTACCAGAGGAGGTTTCAAGGCTTTTTTTAGTCTCCTTATGGTGATTGATTTATATGGGTTAAACTTCCTTAGGAATGGTCATATCTGTGTTAATATCTGCTTTCTATCCATTTTTTTTAATTTGGCTTCAAGAACTTGTTTAAATAGGTTAGGTTGGAGTTGCCCCAATTGTGTGTCATATCTTTTTATTTTTTTCCAATTTAGCATTGATTTTAATTTTTGTTGTAACATGTCCATGGGCTGAGTGTATAGTCAGCTGACTCAGAAATGATTACCACCTCAGTAACTAGTCATTTCCTGTTAGAATAAAGTTTTTATTTCTTGAAATATTATTTGGTGTTTATCATGCCCAGCACCTTCCAATTCCTTAAAGTATCTACATGGTGTAGTGGATAAAATGCTGGGCCCAGAGTCAGAGAGACCTGAATTCAAATCCAGCCTCAGACACTTACTAGCTGTGTGAAGCCTGGGCAAGTCACTTAACCTATGTCCGCCTCAGTTTCCTCAACTGTTAAATAGGGATAATAAGGTACCTACTTCCCAGAGTTGTTGTGAAAGTTAAATGAGATGTTATTTGTAAAGCACTTAGGACAGAACCTGGCACATAGTTGGCATTTAATATATGCCTATTCCCTTCTTCCTTAAAGCATTCATGATTTGTTGGCACAAAAGACTTTTGAGAATGTCTGCTAGTCTTTGTTTCTTACTTCTGAACCATATTTTCAGCATATCTTTTGCTGCACTCCCCTGTGCTTACTTTGAGATTAAAGTCACCAAGTGTGAAAATGTATGTTGACTTATTTTAGAGGGTCTTATCAAATTCTTTTTAGAATGTTTCTCTTCATCCCCTGTACATAAGCTGCAGCTGCCTTCATGGCAGTCTTTTTGAAACGGCTTATCAAGAGTACTATATTCGAAGATAGTTGTCTCATGAAATTGTGTTTATTTTTGCTATTGGATGCACAATGAAACCAGCTACCACAGTTCCTTTATTTTCATCTCTGATGAGAACCTGCAAAATCTCTTTCCATTTAGCTGTACTTTCCCTTTGTCTTCTGGTTTCAATTAAGAATCTCAAGGTTGAGATGGTTCTTTTTTTTAATAGTAAGTATATCTACTCATTGGTCATTGTACAAAGATTTTATGTTTAGAATTCTAACAGCCAAGTCAATGTTTGTGGTCTAAAAACTGGTTCCTAGCACTTCTGCCTACTTTTTCTTTTACCCTTCCATTATCACCACAAAAGGAAGAATGCACAGAGTTGAAGGACATTTTTAGTTTTTCTTCACTTTATGGGTTCCCCCATGGCCAAAGAATTCATCACCAAGTAGTCATCCAGATGATGAAGCCATCTGTACTTAGCCAGGCTGGACCTTGAGAGACAAGATATATCCTGTTTCTGGGACCTTAATCAAAACCCCACCAGCATGGGAGAACCTGCTGAAGTTTACATTTTCCTGGCATAGTCATTGAGCGAAGGATGAACAATAGCAACAACCCTGTCTTTGCCACAGTGAAACTTTATGATGACTTTTGAAAGAAAATTTCAGTGAATTAAGATAATTTATGTTCAGCATTTAAATTAAGTAATGAGATATATGGGTCATGAATGGCATTGTTGGAGGGAATGCCCATATTGATGAGATCACAGGTCCATTGAAGTATCCTGAAAGGTAGTATTATAGGTTGACTTAATCATTGAATTGTTCAAGGTTTTAGCTTGTAGATCTAGTAACATGGTTTTGTCACTCTGTGTGTGTGTGTGTGTCTGTATGTGGGCATGCTCATGTGCTCACATGTGTTTTTTTTAGTCTGACCACATCTATCACACCCAACACTAAAAACATGCGGCCAGGTCCTGATTAGTCGAACAAACAATGAATTACTTGAAATGTTCACGTTATGCAAATTTCTACTGCATATTTCCATGGAACTAGAACCAATTATCATATTTTACATAATTGTAACTTCAGCCAGGGCAAATTTCAATACACGTAACCACTTCCATGGGATTCATTATTTGTTCTAGGACCAAGCTATAAAAACCTCATAGACAAAGGCCCCTGTTCAAAACAAGTAAGTGCAAAATCACATCTTCTGTTAAAGTCAGACGTGTACCCCACTAAATGTTGCTGCATCTGTACTAGCCATTTTTGGCCAGCAAAGCAACTCCACTAAAAAATACCTTTGGTTCTTAAATTCTTAGCAAGGGAAATCAAATGACAGCATTTTATTATTCATGGCAAAGTAAATTATGTTCTCTGAAAGCAACTCAACTATTTCTGATATGCCATTTTATTTTTTAAACCAATAAAAATTTGTTGTTGTTCAGTTGTTTCAGTCATGTCTAACTGTTTGTAACCCCATCTGGGGTTTTCTTGGCAGAGATACTAGAGAGGTTTGCCATTTCCTTCTCCAGCTCATTTTACAGATGAGGGAACTGAGGCAAACAAGGTTAAGTGACTTGCCCAGGGTCACACAGCTAGTAAGTGACTGAGTCCAGATTTGAATTCAGGAATATGAGTCTTCCTGATTTCAGTGTCAACATTTTTTTGGGGGTTTTGAGGAAATTTTAAAGAAAAAGGAACATTACTTTCATTGTTTCAAAACATTTGAATCCATTTAGATCCATTCCATTAAAACTTCATTATTTTTCATTTCAGGCTTTTGAAGACCTCAGCAAACTCATGGTTAAGGTATATTAATTTATATTTGTTATATTCAAAACAATTGTGTTGTTTTAAGCACATTTTGTAACTAGAAAAATGGTTCCTTTTTTCCCGACAGGCAAAGGAAATGGTCGAATTATCCAAATCTATAGCTAATAAAATTAAGGATAAGCAAGGTGATATCACAGAAGATGAAGTAAGTAGTAGTTTTTGTGGTTTTTCAGGACTAAAAGCCAAATACACACACACACACACACACACACACACACACACAATACACACACAAATAAACAGTATAGCTAAATATTTTGATGGTCAACCTTTTAACGTAGAGTTTTTGTTTTGGGGGCTTGAAATTGAATGAAAATACTTCAGAAATACAAGATGTTTGTCTTAAAGTTGTGTTAGCTATAACAAGTTGATTTTTAAAAAGTTTTTTCTTGAAATATAAATATTAGGGTGCTATGAATATTATAAAAAGAGAATTAAAAAATGATAGTTTTTACAACCTTTTTGAAAGTCAACTTTTAGGCACAAAATTGTTTGAAATTGAGGTTTTTGAGGTTATTTATTTATTCTAATGATAACCTTGTGATTGGTGTTAAATGTAGTTGTTACCTTAGTGTTCTTAATTGCCAGCCTGGTGAGGTGAGGAAAGGGTAAGATGACAAGATAAAGGAGAGGGAGGCTATATTATTAAATTGATCCAGAGTATTGCTGGAAATCCTTTTCTTATTACAAATAATGAGAGATTATAAGTATAGTGTAGGGATTTGCAGAGGGAAAGATTTAGACTCTTCAGTGTAAAGAAAAAATTCCTAACAATTAGAGCTATCCCGGAGTGATGAACAGCTAGGTGGCACAGTGACTAGAGTGCTGGACCTGCAGTCAGGAAAACTCATTTTCCTGAGTTCAAATCTTGCCTCAGGCACTTACTAGCTGAAAGACCCTGGGCAAGTTACTTAACCCTGTTTACTTCAGTTTCCTCATCTGTAAAATGAGCTAGAGAAGCAAATGGCAATCCATTCCAGTATCTTTGCCAAGAAAACCCCAAATGGGATAACAAAGAATTGGGTGTAACTGAATGACTGAAAAACAGGAAGGGTGATGGGCTGCCTTGGGAAGATAGTGAGTTTCCCTCATTGAAGTTCTTCAAATGGAGCCTAGATGGCCCTTTGTCGATAATATTATAAAGAGGGGTCCTGATCATGTACTAACTGGACTAGATGACTCCTAAGATCCCTTTCCATTCCAAGATTCTATAAATTGGAGGGGTTAAGGGAGGAAAGAGTGACTATAGTAAAGTATTTAATTAAACATTTAGTTGATGGCCAGGAGAAATAAAGGTCTTAAACTTGAAAAGAAAAACAAATCTAGCTGTCATATCATTGATGTGTATTTTTTCTCTTTCCCATTTAGACCATCAGGTTTAAATCCTACTTGCTGAGCATGGGCATAGCTAATCCAGTTACCAGAGAAACGCATGGCTCAGGCACTCATTACCATATGCAGCTGGCAAAAACAGCTAGCTGGAATACTGCAGGTGCCTTTAGAGGTAAATGCAAAGTAGTGTTTAATTCCATCAATATCCAGTCATCAGGAACCTTGAAAGGAGTAACTCTTCTTAAAGTTTGATTAACCTTCAGCTAACATTCCATTATTTTGTTTCTTTCTGAAATAAGTATTAATTGGTTTGAATGAAACTGCTAATAATTTTCAGCTTTTTTATATTTAATCTCTACCATAGCTAATACTTTATAGATTATTAGTAGATGTACAACTTTCTTAGTCAAAAAGTGTAGTAGTATATCTTATTAGAGGTCCTTTTGTTTCCAATTTCTGACTCATGTCATCTCCTAAACACCTAATACAAAACAGTCTTTAAGACAGGAGGCAATTTTCTATGATAATTATAGAGATTCTAACTTGACATACAAGGGCAATTTACATTTTTTTCCCCCATACATTCTCCAAAAGGGTTCAGCCTAATGCTGAAGAAGAGAAGTTTTAGGAAGGACGTGATAGTGTTTTTCAAGTACTTGAAAGCCTGCCATATGTAAAGAAAGATTAATTGTGTGTGATTAAAGAGGGGTAGAACTAACAACAGAGGGTGGAACATGGAAAGAAGAAGATTTCACTTACTTATGAGCAGGAATGTCTTAACGTAAAAGCAAAGGACTGCCTGGAGAGGTGTGGAAAAAATCTGGATGACCACTTGTCAGGGCTGTTGTAGAATACATTCGTGTTTCAAATAGAGATGATCTGTGATGTCCCTTGGACCGTATGATTGTAGAATTTTATAAGTCCTTCTTCACCGATTAGTAAATATTAAACAGTAATTGTAGTATCATCTTTGAATTTGAAAAAGAATTTTTAAATCCAAATATAGAATTTGTCTCAGTATTTTCTTATGCACATTCATTTTCTGGTGTATTGTGATTTAATGCTGTTATACAGATTTCAGGAATCTTTGCCACCAACCATATTTTATATTAAATTTACTTATTTCATATTTAAACAGGAGCGAGGGGGAATAATGTCGCTCACGGAGGTGTACTGTTTAGTGAACCGAGCTAGAGGAATGGAAGTAAGAAATCAGTTTTGACATTCTACTTCTAAATCTAGGCTTTATTGATGTAATCCAGGGGAAATCCTGTTATAATGAATACTGTTCAAGGATAGATTCTATTTATGAAAAAGATATTTTCTTAACTTGAGGAGTTGCATGTAGGAGCCCTATTTTGTTAACTTAGTCATATCAAATTCTGTGCATTGGATAATGCTGTGTAAACAATGCCTTGTCTGGTTCCTTTCTGTACTGAAGACCTTGAGTGTGTACTAATAGTAGGTAGTAATAAAGAGAGAAGAACTTCTTTTGTCCTGTTGTAAAGTAACAATTATACTTCAAGTCTCCCCATTCTTTTTGACTTCCCCATATTTCCTATCCTTTTCCATATCAAAAAAATTCAACCACCTAAACAAAAGCACCACAGACTAAGAAAACAAAAGGGTCTAGGATGAGGAGAGGGTTGAATGGTGTAAATATAATTGGATGTCCTGGAGATATCTCAAGTCCAAGACCTGTGAAAAACCGAGCTCATTCTATTTTCCCTGAAGCCTTCCCTCTTCCACACTTCCCTATTTCTCTTGAAGGTACAGCCATCCTGCTAGTCTCCCAGGTTTATAACCTTGGCATTTTCCTCCTCACTATACTTGTCATTCGCCCTCACCCTACATAGTCATTCAGTTACCAAATCTTGCCAGTTCTACTTTCACAGTCTCTCTTACATCTCATGCCTTCTTTCTCCACTCACAGAGCTACCACCTTAGTTGAGGCATCAGCCACCTAAATTACTTCCTTGTCTCAAGCCTCGCATTACTTCAGTCCACCCTCGGTGCTCTGCTGAAGTAATTTTCCTTGAGTGTGGATCTTACCAGTTGATTCCTCTACTTCTCCACAGTTTCTGCTGCTCTAGAAAGGAAAGGATAAAATATAAACTCCTCTGTTTAGCTTTCATAACCTGGACCCAACCCATCTTTCCAGCCTCATTGGATAATATTACTCTCCCAAACTCTCTTATGCAGCCAGACTGCTCTTCTAGCTGTTCTTCACACATACCACTTCATCTCCCACCTCTGTGTATTTGTACGGGCCCTACTGTGTGCCTGAAATACTTCCTCTTTACCTCCCTCATGGAGTTCCTCTCTTCCCAAAAGATGCAGCCCAAGTACTGTCTTCCACATAAAACCTGTCATTACCTCCTTTACTGCTAGTGTTTTTTCTCCTTACATTTAACTACTTTATATTTATTTGTATTTATTCACCTTATATCTAGGCTGCATATATCTATATATGTACTTGTCTCATTCCTTAGAACATGAGCTTCTTGTAACTAGGGATTGTTTTCTTCTTGGTACTTGTCCCCATTACCTAGTCAATGCCTTGCATATAGTAGGCACTTACTACATATTTCTTGTTATTGTTATGATCCCTCCACCTTTCCCCTCCTGGTTCAGAAAATTTCTGGTAGACATCAACTTTATTTCTGCTCCAGTTTTTGCAGTCTAGGAATGTGATTTTTTCTGCTGTTTTTCATCTGTCAGTTGAAGGGGTTGGACTTAGATGATCTTGAGTGTTTCTTCCAGCTCTGAATCTTGGGGTCTAGCTTTCTAACATTTTAACAGAATTCCATTAGAAATAAAGCCATTTGGATATCTTATAGCATTTGCTACAGAGGGATTTTGCTTCTATAAACTTAGTGTGTTGGGGTTTTTTTAAGCTTTTTTTTAAGTTTAAGCTAACTATTGTTGGGCACCTTGTAAATGTCTTGACTTCTTTTAATCCCATATCATTTAACATATAATAGGAAAGTTGAAGTTCCAACTTCACATGCCTTCCTTTAATCAGTCAGTAAGCATTTATTAATTCCTGCTATGCGCTAGGTACTGTTCTGCACACAGTGGAAACAAGTTCAACGAAGGAAATAATCTCTATGGAATAAATACAAAGAAAATAAATACAAAGTAGTTCAATACCAGGTAGCTGGGAATGGTAAAAGGCGTCCTATAGAAGGTGGCACTTGAGCTGCATCTTAAAGGAATTACTTTCTGGAATTTGACACAGAGGAAACTGCATGCAGGCCCACCCGAGAGCACATCTCAGCCCCCTCCCTCTGTTACCAAGAGAGAATGGGTGAGCTTAGTCTACTTGGATCCACATCCTCACTTCATGACTGGCATAGGACCCAGCTATAGCTAGTGGTGAATATCTAGGCATCCCCTCTCAAGAGAGCCCGTTAATTTCCTCTTAGACTCATTGCCCTTTAAGTAGTTAGGTCATATCACCTAAAACGTTTGATAAATGTGCCTTTAGGCTCCAGGCTTCTCTCTCATTTGTGGTCCTCGTGTTTGTTTAACATCATATCTGTTTGTTTACAATGTCAACAAGGAAATTTTTTTTTTACTAGCTGCTCTCACCAGAGGACTTAGTAAATGCTTGTAAGATGTTGGAAGCGCTGAAATTACCTCTCAGGTAAGGGAGTTTATTAAGATGTGCATTTACTTTGAACAATAATTCCTTGCCGATTGAATTATAATAGTGTTTGCCAGGCCCATTTTCTTAGTGTGTCCATTGAAGGGAGTGTGATCTTTATAGTGGTGCACAGCAAGGGCCCCAAATCATGCTTTCCATGCTGAAGACACTGAGAGGAGGTGTGTTGACTGAATCTCAGTGTCAGCAGCCCCTCTCTTATCCTGTCTAACCTTCAAGTACTGTTTCTGCATTCCCAGATCCTTCTTGAGTCTTTGGCTATCCTTTTTACAGCTATATGTCATGATCTTGACACCAAAAAAGGAATTAAAAGCCTATTACTGACCTTTTGCAGGAATTTGGGTAAATTAATTAATCCTTTGGTTTCTCTTTGTCAGTTAGTGAGCTTGATTAAGCACTTGTTATGTGCCAGCTCTGGGCATTCAAAGAAAGGGAAATAAAACATGGCCCCTGCCCTCAGAGGGAAGGCACTAGAGGCAGGGTCAGGGGAGAGGGTTTAACCAGGAAAGACCTCTTGCAGAACGGAGAATTTGAGCTGAATGTTGAAGGAAACTAGGGAAGTGAGAAGGCAGAGGTGAGAAAGGAGGACATTTGGCCAGTGAAACTGGCCCGGACATGATGTGAGTGTCATGTATGAGGAACAGCAAAAAGGCCAGTGTTCCTGGATTATAAAATAATGTGGAGAAAAGTAAAATGTAAGAAGGCTGGAAAGGTAGGAAGGGACCAAGTTGTGAAAGACTTTTTAATAAGGAACATCTGGAGTTTATTGAGTAGAAGGGTGTTATGGTCAGGCCTGCTCTTTAGAAAGATCAGTTTGGCAGCTGAGAGAAGGATGAACTGGAGTGGAGAGAGACTTGGGCTTCGTTCAGTTGCTTTAACTTTGCCAGCTTTAACATCTGGACAGGGTCCAGTCTGGAGAACCAAATGCTTCCCCTAAACATATAGATATTTAGATATGTATATTTTTTTTCCTCTGTCCTCTGAGTCTTCTTTAAAAGTGATGAATGTCTCTTAGTAAAAGTTGATCTTTGGACAACATGTATAGAATACAATTTGTTGCAAGGCTCATAGTTGAAGCTTTTCTTGTTTTGGTAGGTAAACTCTACCAGAGCTTTCAGTCCCCTGGCACAGCCTTTAGTAATTTAGGGTCACCTCTACATTAGACATGATAGTAATAGATTTTAGTGGAGGATAGCAGGAATATGCATAGTTAAAAATGTAACCAGTGCTATCACATGTCTCAATATTGTCCCTGCTCCCATCTTTATTAGAGCTATAGGTGAGGTAGGAGATGGGCAAATAAACAGATTCTTTGGCAGTGAGGTAAGACATAAGGGTAAAATGTCTGCTCCTCTTAAATGGGAATGTCTAGAGTTGGTCTATATAATCTGCAAGTAAGAAAGTCAGGTTTCAGATTATCCCTTTTCTTCCACTGAAAATGTATTAAGAGGGGAAGTCATGAAGTAATCTGTACTTGACTGTTTGATCAAGTCTTTGCTCACAGTTTCTTGGGGTGTTATGTTTTGAATGTTATTTCTGCTGTGACATTACTCCTATACAAGGGTATAAAAATCCCCACAGTTTTTTAGCAGCTGAAGAGTTCTCTTATTCTCATCCTTCATTTTCAGGCTCCGAATTTTTGACAGTGGTGTCATGGTCATTGAGCTTCAGTCCCACAATGAAGAGGAAATGCTTGCTTCAGCTTTAGAGACAGTATGTGCCCTGGATGTCCTTTAACAGTCTGCAAAGATGATTTAAGCATATTAGGTGTAAAACTTGAAGAGCAGGATTTCCTTTTGAAGTTTGCCATATTAAAAAAAATGTTTTCATATGTACAGGTTCTAATGTTTTAAATTGTTCTTAAGTGGTAAGGCAGCTTGGCATGGTAGATAACACCATTTGACATAAAATCCTGTAGGCCTGTGTTTTAATCTCACCTCTGACTCTTGGTGCCTCCACCCCACCCTCAGAAGTCAGTGTGTGTATTTGTATATCTGTCCTGTGTTTTTACTTACCCATTACCAGGTTGTGTCCCCTTTGGGAGGTCGGAGACTATCTCACATTTGTATTTGACTCCCCAATGCCTGACATATCATAGACATTTAATAAATGCTTTCTGAGAGATAGGTTTGTTACGAAGTCATTGATGGGTTTCATTCAGTGTTGGGGTAGGATATTCCCAGTCTGGGAGTTTCCTACAGATCCTTTGTGCCTTGGCATATTAAGGAGTCAGTATGGATCAAACCCATAATTAAGTTCTTCTCTGGTACATCAATTTACTGATCCCTTTTTACTCAGAAATAAGTGGAGAAAATAGACTAATGTTACACAGGATATTTTCTTTGAGGCTTAGCTTTAGCTGTTTCGTTTTTTAATCAAAGCATGACATAATTGAGCTCTATCTATAGTGGATACATAAGCATCACTACTGACTGTCAGGCAGCTGTGTCAAAATATTTACTTCAGTTCAGTTCAGCAGAAAAACTGGGTGCTTACTGTGTGCATAGTACTCCATAAGCCTAGATTAGGCTGATTTAGCTGATTTCTCTATTGATGTCACTTATTTAAGATGCTTGAAATATTACTGTCTTCATTGGACCTGCCAAATCTTATTAGCTATGGTGACCTTGAGCAAGTCACTGAACTTATCTTTGTTCCAGTAGCCTCATCATAAAAAGGGAAAGCTGCCCTAGATGATCCACTAAGGTCCCTTTCCGCTCCCTGATTTCTGGATTTCAGATGTGTCCATAATACACATTTTTAACAAAAGCTGATTCATAAACTTCTTTACCCTCTTCTGTTTCAGAGTGTTTGGCCTTACTTTTATGCTACCACACAGACCTTCTGTTGTATATATTATAGAGATGTTATAATTTAGACTGCTAGGTTTTGAAATATTTTCTTTTGAGTCCTCATCTTAGTATTAGTATTACCTCATGTTTATATAGCTCTTTATCATTTACATAATGCTTTCCTCATAACCCTGTGAGGTAGGTAGAGTCAAGCACGGGTAAAGAAAATGTACTTCAATTGCTAATACTATTTGAATACCTGTAACACATTCAAGAACTTATCATATGTTTTTAAATGTCTTACTTGATCAGATTCATAGGACTAAGTATTGTGCCTTGCCAATCAAATTTGTAACACATTTTATTTTGATGTTTTTTGTTACAGGTATCAGAAAAGGGATCTCTCACATCCGAAGAATTTGCCAAACTTGTAGGAATGTCTGTTCTTTTAGCCAAAGAAAGGTAAATTAGCTTGGGGCGGTAATGCCCATTTTTGTTACTACTTATCATTGTGTTCTCTTAATTGCCAAATCTAATGGCTTTTTCTCAGTCCCCATCCATCTTTACCTTTCTACAGCCTTTGACACTGCTGACCACCCTCTTCTCCTGGATGCTCTCTCTTGTCTGGGTTTTCATGACATTGTTCTCTCTTAATTCTTTTCTTGCCAAATTAACTGCTCCTTCTTAATTTCCTTTGCTGGATCATCATCCGTAGCATACTTTGTAACTATGGGTGTACCCTGAAGTTCTGCCTCAGGCTTCTGGATCATCATCCGTAGCATACTTTGTAACTATGGGTGTACCCTGAAGTTCTGCCTCAGGCTTCTTATCTTTCTGTATACCACCTCACTTGGTGACCTCATTAACTCCCATGGATTTAATTATGGAAGCTTTGCAGATGACTCCCACATACATATAGTCAGCTGTAGTCTCTCTCTTGAACTCTGGTTCCTACATCACTGACTATTGGACATTTTGAACTGGTTGCCCATAAACATCTGTAACTCCAACTATAACCCGTTATTTCTCTTCCCAAATCCACCCCTCTTCCAAACTTACCTGTTTACTCCCAAGGGCAGCAAGATTCTTCTCGTCACCCGGGTTCACAATTTTAGTGTCTCCTCAACTAGTTCTCACCACATCTATCCATTCCATTGCCAGATCTTGCCATCTCTACCTCCCTAGCATCTCTTGAATTTATCCCGTTCTCACCACCCACATAGCCACCACCCTTTATCACCTCTCACCTAGACCATTACAGTAGTTTCCTAATTGATCTCCCTTCCTTGATTGTCTCTCTCACGGATCTCACACATCTACCACACAGCTCCCAGATCGATTTTCTTAAGGGCAGTTCAGACAGTGTCACCATCCTTTTCAATAACCTGAGTAGTTCCCTATTGCATCTTGTTTAGTCCGACTCTTCATGACCCCATAGACCATAGCGTGCCAGTGCTGTCCATGGGATTTTCTTGGCAAAGATACTGGAGTTCCTTCTTCAGTGGATTAAGGCAGACAAGGTTAAGTGACTTGCCTAAGGTCACACAGTAAGTGTCTGGGACCAGATTTGAACTCAGGTCTTGCTGACTCCAGGCTCAGTGCTCTATCCACTGAGCCACCCTAGCTGCCTCTGTTACATCTAGGGACAAATATAAGCTCCTACTTGTGGCTTTGAAAGCCTTTAAAACCTCCCTCCAGCCTACCTTTTCAGTCTTCTTATGTGTCATTGCATATTCTGTTAGTTATCCTTCTAGAAGACACTCCATGTCCATCTCTGGGCCCTTGAGCTAGCTCTCCGCACTACCAGGAATGCATTTCTTCTTCCCCTATGCTTTTTAGACTCCCTCCCTCCCTTCAAGTTGCAGCCTAAGTGCCACCTGTTATGTGGTGCCTTTCCTGAGGCCCCCGTAAGCTTGTGCCCCACCTTCCCTTTGTATCTCTGTCATATATCCTTATAGATGGAGACAGCTCTCCCGTATGGAATTGAAGACCCCTGAGGGATGGGACTGTTTCCTTTTTCTCTTTATGTCTCTAGTGTGCAGCATGGTGTGCATTTAATAAATCCTTGTGAATTGATTGATTGAATGAATGTATAAATGATTTCATTTTCTTTTTGTCTTTGTCTTTAGGTTGCTTCTTGCTGAAAAGATGGGCCATCTTTGCAGAGATGATTCAGTGGAAGGCTTGAGGTTTTATCCAAATTTGTTCATGACCCAGAGTTAAATATTTTGTAATTGTATTCTTTACCTATATCCTTTCATCATGCAATGACTGAATGACAGACAACTATGAGATAAACCTTTATTCAGTTACGGATTTTGGTAGAACACTGCAATACAGGACAGCTTTTCTAATGTTTTTCCCTAAATACTATGTCCTAGGAAAGCTTATTTAGGATTAATATGGAAAGGTACTAAAGGAAAAAATCAAAGCTGTCATGAAAATTAAATCATGTTATGTTTATGTTGACCCTTAGTAGGTTAACGTAAAATAAGAGTTTCTAACTGAATCGTTTAGTTGAACTGTTTTGAAAGAAGAGAGTTTAGTTTCATGAGAATAAATCTGAGTTAACCCAGGTAATAGTTATGTTAATAAGATGACTGAAAGGGATTGAATCACAATAGGATTTATGTTCATGTCAACTGTTTACCGTTTGGGGATATCTGAAATATGCCATGTTTGCAGTGATAGAGCTATGACCCCATTGGAACGTAATGTGATACTGGATGATGCTGTGTTAGACACCTCCTCTGGAAGCAATCACAGGCTGTCTCTTCCAGAGGCTAGATCAAGTATCCTACTTAGTTTTTTATTTAGCTTACTTATGTAGAGACTTGATACGGTAATTTCTTTTTTTTTTTTTTGTTACTAAGTGGTGAATTCATGACTGGCATTTAAAGAATGCGCCTATGTCATTTTACTTTTAAAATACATTGGATTTTGAAATTGAATTAAGAAGCTGTTTAGACATGTTTAGAGGGATGATTCCAAATTTGGGAATTAGCCGACCTGGGGATTTTTTAAGTCTGCTGTAGAAAACTTTGAACCAGCCATCAGGAACCTGGAAACTTGATTATCTTTTTTCTTTGAAGTGGAAAAAGGAAAGTTAGAATACACACACAGAGACACACACACACACGTCTTCATTCTTTCCTCCTTTTTAAAGAATTTCAACAGTAAACAATTCTGGTGCACTACTAGCAAGTCATTCTACCATATTCCAGCAATATTTTTTACTTTTGTTTGCCCTGATTTACTTAACAACATGCAAAAAAGCTTACTTCTTGGTATTATTGCTCTGTTCAGAAAAATCTTACTGAGAGAAATAAAAGAAGATTATCCTAAGACCAAAAAAATGCTGCCACTAATGAAAATAGATTCCTGTTTTACAGTTGTACAGTGTATCATATAATGGCATAACTTAAAATTCAGGGCATATGCCCACGGTCAGGATGGGGCCCCCTGCAATGGTTAGCTAAGGAGATGGAGTAGAAGGGTCTTCATAGTATGTGTACACAATTTTACAGGATGATCAGTACCCATACTCCAAGAACCAACCTTCAGTGACTGTATTTAGCCAACCTAAGAGGAATCCCCAAGTTTATACTTGAGTCTCTCTAAGGAACTTCTGTGGGGTCCACCTGTGTGTCACTGCTAGTAGCCATTCCAGGACCCTTGTGTGAAGACCTCAAGGAATTTCCAACCTCACTCTCAGAGAATACCTCCAGCTAGGCCAGCTAGCCGCTCTCTTTACATAACTGTCAGTTCCTGGGTATCAGCTCTAGCTATTTCATATCGGTAGGAAACCAGCAGAAGTGCTGCCTCTGGACAACCTTGTTCTAGGCACTGTTTTGCTGACCCACATTGTTCTGCTAATGTTCACTGATGAGTGAATTCCCTGTTCTGCCTCCATCATTCAAACCCTTAAGTTTGTTCCTGGGCATCTCTGTAGTTTTGGACCTTCAAAGATGCAAAGGATGCTTTTATACATGACACTCACAGAAAGTCTCATTTGTCAAGTTTTTTTTTTTAAATTACAAGTGTGTCAATCCTGTTCTCTCTTACTCTTGAATAGTAAGCTGTTCCACAGGTTATACTTGTACTAGGCAATGGTTCAAGCTTTAAGGATTTAGATCAGTCACCACAAATTTATGTGATTCAGCTATTATGTTTACCTTCATATGACAGCAGCAAAACATGAATGGGGTACTCACTACAAAGCGAAAAGAAACTGGAAAATGAGGAGAAATCACATATGGTTACTATTCTGGAGGCATTATCATCTTTTAAAACTCAGTGTTTAGATACTTTAGGAATTTTTGTTTTGCATTATTTTTAAATGGACATATTTCCACTATTTCTTGTCCCAATCCTTATTTTTTATGACTTTGGACTGTCTTATGGGGGCATCATTCAGGTCTTGCTCTTAGTAGGCTTATGTTGAAATAAGAACTGTTGGACTCGGACTCCCATCCAAAATGCTGTTTTGGTGCTTTTCCTAATTGATATATTTATTATTTAGTGCTTTCATGACTTACCTCTTAGGAGCATTAAGATACAGACCTGTATCCTTAGCTTTATTATAATGGCACTTCTCGAGCCACTTATTGTCAAGACAAAACTTTATACTTTGTGTACGTAAAGATCTTTTCAGGGTTAAATTAAATGATTGATATATAATATATATTAATAAATCATTACAATAAAAAGATTTTTTTTCCTAACTTGGTATTCTCTCTTTTTTTAAAAAAAAAAGTGTGAAAGAAGCCAATAATTTAAAATATGGCCACCATTTTCCTTCTAGACAATCAGCTGCCTAGTGCAAATGTAAAGGACACTTTCATACCCTTTACTTTAATCTTTTTAAAAGAGAGCTGTTCTTATAATGAACTGCTAAATTAAAAAAACAACTTGCTCTGGCTGTGTGAATGACTGAATGTATATTAAAGTGACCCTAATCCATCCTGTACTCTTCTACCACTCTTTCCAAGGACATGTCATCATGTCATTTCCTTGCTTAAGACTACAAAGGTTTCACATTCAAGTCCAGACTCTTCATTCAAGGCCTTTCTATAATTTGGCTCTGTCCAGCCTTCTCTCTCACCATTCCTTGGCTCCTTTCTGTTCCCATCTCCCCATGGCTCAGCATTCCACAGTTATTGATAACCCATTGCCTTTGCTTATCAGTGATTGTCTAAACAACAGCTGGACGTGATGAGGGACAGACAGCCTGTGCAAAAAGTACATAAGTATGAGATGGAGTGTTTTTTTATGGAACGTGTACCAAGTAATAGCAAATAGGTCAGTTTGGCTGGAAAGTAGTATATTTGGGAGGGAAAGGAAAGCCTGGGAATGGAGAATCAAATAAAATTGTTAGAGACTTCAAAAACCCAATAGGAGTCTGCATTTTTCTTGCGAACAATAGGCTTTTTGAGTAGGAGAGAAGTGTGGTCAGGTGTGCTTTAAGAACATCAATTTAGCAGTGTGTAGAAGTGGGGATTAAGAGTTAATCAATAAAAACTTGTTGCAGTAACTCAGATACAATATGAGGGGCCAAGCTAGGGCAGTAGCCACGTAGTGAAGAGGCGGGGTGGATATGAATGAATCGACAAGACTTGGCACCTCATCGGATATGGAGAGAGGAGTGAGGAAGAAAGGAGATGATGATGTTGAGGCGAATCTGGGTAACAAGAAGGAGGCTATGCCCTCAACAGAAATAGGGAAATACAGAGGAAAGGAGAAGGGATAATGGCTTCCATTTTGCACATGTTGAGTTTGGACATGTCTTAAGTGAAGATGATTAGCAATCACAGCAACTGACAGCGGGCTGGAGCTCAGGAGAGAAATGGAGAGGGGCTGGGTATTTGAATTTAGGAGTCATCTGTAGAGAGGTGAACCCATGGGGTTCACGAAAGATCACCGGGAGAAAGAGGAAGAATATAGGCCTCAGGACAGTTCTTTGGGGTTAAGGACTGGAGCATGGATACTGATTATGCAAAGCTTTGCTAAATATGTCATTGCACTAGGAACAATTTAAATATCCTGACAGCCCAATGCTGACAAGACCCTAGTGCTTCTCTCTTTTACTTCAGTCCTTTAAAACATTTTAGTAATGTTATTTATCACGTTTAAAAGGTTACTTAACCGAAGTTACAGTTTGCTCAATAATAGTCCAGTTCAGAAAGAATTTTCCTTAACCCATAAAATTACCTACAATGTGAATTTGGTTTATCTGTACCTAATTCTTCCTCCAAAAAGAAGGAGGTTTCTTACGTGTTTTAATATTCCAGAGAATAGACTGAGCTAAAAATGTTATTATACACGGAAAACTAGATTACAAAATTGAAAACTGGGATTAACCAAATAAAGTAAATTGTTTCCAGGAGTTAAAGTGGGTGGTGATGTCATTTTTTTGCAGTTCAAAAAATTTCATTAGTGCAATTAGCTAAATTATTAAAAGATAAGCATTTTTAAATTCTCTTGACTCTGTAAGTAAGATGATGTAAGTGGTTGTAATAGTCTTTAAAAGTCCATTGAAAAAGTTAGGGAACTGAAGCTAGAAGGTTTTAACTTCGATTAAAAATATGGTACTTTATGTAAAAGCAGAATAAATTGTAAGCAGTGTGTGTAACACTAAAGTGTTCACCTAATCCAGTTCAATTTCGCATTTATTAAGCAGTTGTTAGACCAAGGGACTGCTAGGTGCTGGTGATGCAAAAGCAAAACCAAAGCTGTCCTCATCCGCATGTGGATAGATTTATGAGAACTTCCCCTTCTGCTGCCTTTCACTTTTAACCAAACAGCTTTAAGGTGTTGTGTTAGGTGCATGCAGATTTTAAGCTTTTTTTTTTCCCTATCCTCTGCCACGATGACTGCATTTTAACCTTAAGGAGTCATTTCTGAGCTTTTAAAAAAGATGTAGAAGTCGAAAATGATGGATGTTTTTCTAACTCTCAAATCACATACGAGGGTCCTCTTTTCAATTTAAGGCCAGTTGCGCGGTTTTTCTTGTGGGAAATCCCATTTAAAAAAAAAATTTAATTTTTCCCCAGTTACATGTAAGAACAATTTTTAACATTCATTTTTAAGATTTTGAGTTCCAAATTCTCTCCCTTCCTCCTGCTCGTCCCACCCCCACCCCACCCCGCCCCGGGAAGGCAAGCAATTCGATATAGGCTGTACAGGTGTAGTCTTGCAAAACAGTTCCATAATAGTCATGTTGTGAAACTAGGGAAATCCCATTTCTTCTGATTCGTCAGGAAACCTCTAGAAACACAGGATGTCAGAGTCGGACCAGACCAGTGCTCAGAAATTGGCAGTCAGGCTTGGTGGCATTTGCCACTCATCAAAAGAAGCGAGCGTTCTGCACCCTCGCTAGATTTACTTTCCTTTCTTAGAAAGCAAGAAAAAAAAGTTTTATGGAGAGGGGTAATAGAATTTCCAAAGGTCTTGATAGACCACTGTTGACTCCCCGTGGAACTCCTGAGGATGGATAGAGTAGGGACAGTCTAAGCTATTTGGCTCCGACTCAGGGAATGCCCTAGACTGAAGAAGGGCAAAAGCGCTGACTTTGGGCTTCTGGTGGCTGCTCAGTTCGTCTGGGAGGTGGGGAGTCTGGAGGCAGAATTCTCTACGGTCCTGCATATTTCCTGTCCAGTTTCCTGCAGGGCAAGGGGTGGGAAGAGGAAAGGATGCAATGCACAGCAGAGAAAAAGAAACACACGCGCGCGCGCGCACACACACACAGGCACACATGAAACTTGCCTATGCTGCGCCCTCCTCTTCTTTCCCTCCCTCCCACCCACGGCAGCTGCCTAGGGCAGTCCGCGGGCGGGGCGTGCCGGCCGGGCCGGGCCAGGGCTGAGCAGGGCAGGGCGTTCCTCGCCCTTCTCTTTCCTGTTTGCTGGCTGCCCAGTTAGCTTGAGCCCAGAAGGTGCGGAGGGAGAAAGGACTGGCTCCCAGATGCTCCGGGGGCAGCCGCAGGGCCAAGACGTCCCTTCAGGCGGAGCAAGCGGGGTTGGTTTCTGCGTCTCGCCGTGGCTAAGAACACCGAGCGGTTTAGCCCAGGAAAAGAGCCCAGACATCCCAGCA